CAGTTATCTAATTTGAAAGAAAAATTCAATTGCACTTTTCAGATGCGTCGTTGCATTTATGAGGGGGAAAAAATATATATATATATATATATAAAGTCACAGAAAAATGAACATTTTTATACTATTCAATTTTCTCCCCTATAAATTTTTTCCATCTACTGCGAAACAAGAGATATGACCCGTTCCAATTTTATCATTCCACTTTGTGTATACATACTGAAGATGACTCATAGCTAAATTTACATACTATTTTCACCGACAACCAATCTGGCTAACAGAATTTTTCATTTTTTCTTTTTTTTTTATATATAGATATAATAATAAAATTCTTAAAAAGAAAATATTATACGATATTTAATTAGGTATAATTAATTTTTATTATTTTTTATTCAAGACTCCCTCTCTATTTTTATATGACACAATTTATGAGAACTATACTATAAATATAAAATATACAAATTTTATGACATATCAAAATTCATCAGTTTTTTGATTAAAAGAAATCGACATATTTTTTTTTATATATATATATAAAATATACAAATTGCTCAAAAAAAAAAAACAAACAAATATTTAAATAAATAGAATCAATGTTAACCACTTTTTACTTAACTCTCTAATTTTGATGAATTTTAATTTGTTATAATTTATGCAAATCATCCTCTATAAATATACATTAACAATTTAATAACATTAAATCGTCGTTTTAAATTCTATAATACGAAATCCCTTTTCTTGTCAAACTATATTAAGTAGAAAATATTTGATGGAATGTGAAAAACTCGTAGTAGCTCGTGGAAAAAGAAGATAGGAAAGAAGAGAACCGAAGGAAGAAATTTAATATACGTTAATATCACTCTCTCTCTCTCTCTCTTTCTCTCTCTCTCTCTCTCTCTCTCTTCTGATAGTTTTCAAACTTATAGTAATAGTTGTAGTAGCATGGTGTAGTAGTCGTGTTGCTTTGTAGGTCGATGAATATCCTAAACCATTATCGAATGAGATTTCATGAACGTTGAAGAGACGCAGAGATAGACGTAGACAGAAAGAGAAAGAGATTGAGAAAGAGAGAGAGAGAGAGAGATAGTAATAGCACTGTTGTAAGATCCTTTGTTTGATCTTGAGACTACGATGACACTATCCAAAGTTGCAGTAATGTTAGAAATTCGTAACAAGCTTCCAAGTTTCCTATCAAAGGCAACATTAGATGCGTCTATTCCCATCGGTTGTTGGCTACTAACGATTACATGGTGAAATCAACGGTGCGAAAGATCGAACAATATCTATGAAAACAATTAATATCGATTACCTTAACGATACAACATATATAACATACAAATCATTATCATATAACATACAAATCATTATCATATAACGTTAAAATCGTTATCAAGCTATTTTATTTTTCGTCCATTTCGAAAAACACGTTCATAAAAAAGATACATGTTTTCTACTTCATCTTCCAGTTCCATCTACTTTTATCTCTTTCTACTTCTTTTACCTCTATTCTTTTTCTTTCTTAACACTCAAGCTCTCACTACGTGAGCCAGAATATCCCCCATTCGATTTCTTATTTCTATTCTACTTGTATACTTCCATTTCCTTACTTTCATTTCCTTTTTTCTTCTTCATCTTTTATATTTCTTTCTATGTTTATTAACTTTCATTCATTTTAGTTTCTTTTTCTTTTTTTTGAAATATTATTTAAAGATATTTATATTTTAATAATATATATATTAATATTATATCAATTATTATATAATATACTATAATGTAAGTTACTAATACTTAGAATACTATAATAATAATATTTATTAATACTTAGATCACAATTTTAAATTATTCGATAAATACAAAATAATCTTAATATTACTTCTTATTTCACAACAAAATTCTTTGTATAATATTCATATAAATTGTAGAATTTTTTCAAAAGAAATAAAAATCAATCCTATAATTTACTAACAAAATAAATATTCCTTTTGTCTGAATAATAAAATTGAAAAGCGTTTGATAAAGTTGAAGTGAAAAATAAAAAATGAAATTTTCGTTGAAACTGAAAAAATTTTATTTATGAAAATTGGTCTAACAATTATAAACATTTTTTTTAAAATAATTGAAAACAAAGCTTGTAAATTGCTAACAGTATACATTATCTTTTATGAGAATAAAGTTAGGAAAATGACTGTAAGTTTGGTTAAAGAATACAAATAAAAAAGAAACAAGAGATTGCTTTTAATCTTTAAAAAATTCTTTCAAAAGAAGCTGGTATATCAGTAAAGAACTAACGTCTTCCTTGTCGTCAGCATACTCTGCCATAAGCAAGGGCCTTAACTATATATATAAAGTTATAACTTCTAACAATAAGTTGAGTTATTACGCGTTCCGGAATTCCCACGGTGTCAGGTAATGGTAAGTCTCTTCTCTTTTCTCTCTCACTTTCTTAAGAGAGAGAGCGAGAGAGAGACAGAGAGAAAAAAAAAGAAAGAATAAAGAAAAATATAAGCAGAAAAATCTCACCCATATACAAACATACACGCATATGTCTAAATATATTATTATAAATAAAGTAGGTGGATATTTTCTTTCTACTAAAAGCAAATAATTTGATCGTTTCCATTTACTGCTCCATTAAGCAACAAGATACACATTGTATATTTTTAATTCTACAAAGATGCAGCTAATTAAAATGAATCCATTGACTGCCAACTACGAGATATCTCGTAGTGTATGTTGCAATTTTAGATTAATTACAAATGGTTATTTACGTTAAGAATTATTATATGGTGTAAAAAACATGAATTATCAATTATTGTTTAAATACCATTACAATATTATATCAGTAACTTAATGTTATTATATTTTTCAAAATTTAAGGCAAGACGCGCTCTAAATATGTCTGACAGTAAATGGATTTTAAGGAAAAAGAATTTTGCTCCAATGATTAAACCAAACTTCTAGAAAGTCCAAAGTCAAACATTAGCAAGATATACACTTTGTGATGACTTCAGTAAGGATTGAAACTCTCTAGTTTGAACCTTCTCATAGATATTTAGGTACATTTATATATCTATATATACATATATACCTATATATAAACCTTAGACGTTTGTAAGCAACGTGAAAGCGATTTCATGTCAAAGTCCTTCCTTTTGAATCGTCATTTACGGACAAAACCATATGTACTCTCTAATATCAATAGACATACTTACTTTGGAACACATTTACTTACTCTCTTTCCATCCTATTTGCAAAACTAACGAACCAACTATTACATTTGAAATATATGCGCATTTTACGATGAAGCAAATTTCAAGATGATTTTCAACTAAGATAGAAAAATGCATTGATTAATCAATTGATATGAATATTTTTATGATTCTTCAGATGTATTGGATGTTCCTAAAGTCGCTTTATCTAATTTCAAAATTATTAGAGCTACTTGTAACGATGAAGTTATATTTTTTTTATTAATATTGTACTTAAAGATTTACAATTGGGAGTGAAAGTTCAAATGTTATATTATAATTATTACACAAATATTGATTTGTTGTCATATTGTTTCTTATTTTTCTTTTCGTTAAAACAATGATAGGAATAATTTTCTATATATTTAATAAAATTGTTATTACACAATTGTTATTTTGAAATTTAATATTTATTTTATTATCATATAAGTAGTTATACAACTACGAATACAAATATTTTTCATTCGTAAATCAAATTTAAACAACACGCACTGATAGCAAATATTATCTTTTTTATGTACATACAATTTAGTTCGTACGTATCAAACGTTATATTTCTAACACTTGATTAGAATCTTTGATGAATCAGTTTATAGCGCATGTACAAAGCTCGAATTTTTTCTTATAAATTATTACGAGTAAGGTCAAACTACAAATCGATTATTTCTAATCATGTGGCACTAATCTTATGTAATATATTTTCTATACTAATTATTAGTTAATTCCTTAATTGAATATGGTACATGTACAACTGAGTGATATATTATTACGATTAAAGTTTCTTTGCTTTCCTTTTTATTTTATTAATTCTGTTTTTCTTTTCTATTTCTTCTAGTTGTTGGCACTAAGAATTCAAGATTAGTCTGGGAAAGAATACTGTTGGCGAATATTACTTAAAAATTACGATATATCGGTGATATTCAAATTCGAACGAAGGTATATACATATATTTATACAGGGTGTCCTATTTAACTCAAAATATAATTAAATATTTGTATAAAACTTCACGAATGATTATTTTTGTCCATGTCGATGTGTTTTCAAGATTATATAAAAATCATAGTTTGCCTTAATTTTGTTTTCTGCAAAAGATCGATGATGATTTTGAAATCTTCAAAATAAAAATATTTGTCTGATCAACACAAATAACATCTTCCTCTCCAGTTTTTTCCTATGATTAAAAACATCAAAGACAATTAATTAAGTGCGTCGTATTAAATGGAACACCATGTATAATAGGTATATGATATTCCGATCATTTAAATCGATTTCTTTTGAATATAACGAAGCCCTAGTAATTAAATTACTTAACTCAACTAAGAAATGTACTAATCTATTATTTCGGTATACAAATACGTACACATACACGCCTACGTATATTAACGCAGCTAAGTATTTCTATGTATTATATGTGTCGTGTACTTATCTACATGGAAGACAAACGTGGTTTCGAGGCAGTATGGAAGTGTACTTATGTTTCAGACTAATCAGTACCCCTCATGTCTTAAACAAGTGATAAGCACTGTTTCAATGACTTTAAATTCGCTCAGTGAAATTAATTAGAAGTTCATTATCCTTTTAGGTAAATATTTCAATAGAATAAACTTTTTTTTATATTTTTCATTACTTATTTGTACTATTTGAAATATTATTGATATTCTGTATGTGACGAACATACAATAAAAAATTATGAAATTTAAATTAAAAATATATCAAATGTAGCCGACAAGATCTGAAAGCAAATGTTGACAAGAATATGAAACGAATTTTTTGAAATATTATAAGTTGAGAGATTAAAATCATAAACGAGTGCGTTATTAAACGTGATTATTATGTTTCAATTCCATGAATTGATACGGCACGTGTAATGTAGTATTGTTATGTTCTACTAAAAGATGTCCTCGTCTCTGAGATGCTCCAACGACTAACACCGTTTCACCTTTCAATAACACCACCTCTCCTTCCCCTTCTTCTGAAATGGGTTTATAAATGAGTAGAAGTCATGGCAATTACTTTGTTGATTAAATTTCTTTGTTTGTCTTTCCTTACCTGGGAAAGGCATCTTCATGATCCTCGTTTGAGGATATCCCATTTTCGTATTACCAGCCACGGTATAAGATCTACTTGGTGGTAATGGTGGTGGACGTTCCTTTAGATAAATTAAAATACAATAATATTATAAAAAAAATTTAAAAATCTACAAAATTCATTTTAGTAAGTTCAAATAGTTATATAAATATATAAAATATTCGTAAAAATGTTGAACCTAATTCTTTGATGAAAAATATTCACCATAAATATAAATCCTATAATATTTGAATACTTTGAATTATATACCAAATCAAGTCCAAAAAGTGTACAAGTTTGTTGAATCATTTTTTGATCGGCACATTTTTCCGAAGGATCTGGCGGAGGTGTTCCAGCAATTGGTTGTGGTCTAGGACGAGTACCAGTTCCAGTTCCTGTTCCAGCTGTAACATTTCTTTGAACGGTTCCAGCATTACCAGTTGTTGCTTGTTGAAGTTTTTTCTGACCAATGACCGTTGATACACACATAGTTCTTCTTAATGGCCATCTTCTTCGTACTCTCCAACCCCTCCACGTAGTCTAATCAATAAATTACATTTCTTTGAAAATAATATTAAAAGAAAAGTATAAAGAAACAAGTTAGAGAAACATTCAATTACCTGAATCACCGTAGCAGCTTTCCTTCTTGTTTCCGAACGTAAGCATTCAAGTTGTTGACGTATACCCTCGCTAAGGAAAATGTGTCTCTTACCAAGTGCCCAACTCGTACTAGCTCCAAATTTATTTTTCAATTGTTGGGCATTCTGTAAAATAAGTTTGGTATCCTCGACAGCTTGTTCTTCAGCACGACGCAGTTGTTTGAAAGGTGCGATCAATCTGTATCTCGCGTTAAACGCTTTGAATCTCATCCTATGCGGATAACCTGATCAATAAAAAGGTGGATTTATTCTTGATTGTATTTTTTCTTAAGATCATTCTGAAATCATTAACTATAAATTATTATCTTTATAAGATTTAAATAAAACAAGGAAAATCTTTAAAGATTTGAACAATCCCAAAACTGAGATTTGTCCTTACACTGACAATCATTAAATTAATAATGAAGTTATAGTATTATTGAATTAGCAAACTATGAGTGTTTATAATAATCTACGTACCACCAGCCATTAAATTAACAGTCTCAAGAACTTGCAGAGAACGTATTTGCCTCATCGCTACACCTCTGTCCAAATGCATAGGAGTTTCAGTTCCATTGCTTCTGATGCATCTAACAAAATGTGGCCTAGCGTGAACCAAAGTTCTCAACAGATTGTCCAACCTCGTGTGAAAATCTTGCGTTAACGTTGAAATTGGTTCATCCCCGTTTAAACTGAAAACATTTATGACATTTTTATTACACACATATATTGAAATATATTTTATCTTTAAATTTGAAAAGTAAAAACAATTGTCTTACAGATCCGTATGGGAAGTCGGTGATATCCTAAAACTGACACCTCTCGGAACAGTGTCATTTGCGTACAAAGCTTTCAATTCACTGCCAAACAAATGAGTAGCGAAACCAAAACTGCAAGTATGTTTGTAAAATACTGCGACCAAATCATCAGGAACAACATCCTTGTTTGTGTCTTTAAAAATACATCATAACTTATTACATATATTATCATAATTTATTATAAAAATATCGATTTTGTAAAATATATTGTTTTTGCTTACCTAAAAAGTCTGATGCATCGTACGTGACTCTACCAGCAAAATGTTGAATCCCGAAAGATCTGCAATCTACTGGTCTAGGTTCGAAGAGTCGAGGATTTTGCTTATGTTGAATTTTCACTTTAGCTACGTAACTTTCCGCAGTACCACGTATTGAGCATTCAACGTCCAACATACTGAGCAGACCGGTTCGCTAAAAAGATCGATAAATTTATAAAAATAACTAATTATAATATTAAATCAAAACATATAGTTAGGATTTACATAACAAATAATAAAGTATCACTATTTATAAAAGTTAGATTTTTGTACTCACCAAAGAAGAAATGAGATCGATACAAGGTACATTGTCAACATAGTCCACCTCAACGTCACACCTAATACCTTCATCGCGACAACTTTCAATAGAACTTTTAAATATGTGTGTGTTATAAAAATGTTGCATAGTTTCAGCACAGAGATTTATACAAAGGTGTTCCAATTGACTTGGTTTGGGGTCTTCGAATCCGAACATATCTAAAATTCCTATGAAACCATCTGTGGCATGTCTCACGGCATTATTCAAAGCTGTCATGCTCCTAGAACCTGTCCCACCTAACAGTAACGTAGATGTGTATACGGAAAGCTCAAAATTATTAATTCTTTACTTGATTGAAATAGAATTTGATAAAGTTTTCATACCAGCAGAGCTGCCGATAGTGGAGGCATGCTGACTGGTTACTTCTGCTTGATTATGAACAGACTCGTTAGAATCGGATGAAAGAGTTCCAAGTGTTGATCCTAATCTCTTTAAACTATTAGCTCTTCTGACAATGGTTGCCACGGTACGACAATAAAGAGCTTTAGCCAGGGAATCTCTCGTCATGTTTGACTACATTAATAAATTGGTTTAGAGGTATATGTATCATAGTTTGGCAAATATAAATATATAAATAAAGAAATATACCATGTTTGCATCGCAAACCGATTTAACCAATTGTCCTCGAGCATTGTGGGTTCTCGATGTAAGACCTCTGAGAAGAGCAGGTGGTGGAACACCCAAAAGTGTAGCCACTGAAGCGAGTTCATTTTCTCCGATTACACCAACCTCAACACCAGGTCCGTCGGTGAATCCCACGTTACCGAGAATCAACACTGCAGCTAGTACTCTTACAACATCGAGGAAAGGTATACCAAGTACACCTAAAACGACAAAGAGAAACAGATAGATTTCTTGGCTAGATATGTTCGAGCCCTTTGAAGATAACCGTTTTTGTTCATAATATTTACCCAAGCATGCTTTCCAAGCTTGAAATCTTATCGCATCTTCTGCTTCGTCCTGTCGAGTATCACCATTTTGTAAGTACCTCAAATTTTTGAGATTATATCCCTCCAAATTGAGTTTGACTATAACACGAGATGGTTAGTAAAAGAAAATGTAGATAAGATCGAGTGATGTTTTAGAAACACAATAATAACCTCTTTCTTCGTGAGACAATCCAGCCAACATCTGATAAAATATATGATAATTTTTCTCATCTGGCAATGGTCGGATCACTCTAGTCTGATCCAAGAAATAGCAATGAATTTTCGTTCTGTACAATGCTCCATCAGTAACTTGTACCTCGATGAAGTGACCCTGAGAAAAGTAATGTCACATTAAACTTGTTCAATTTTCTTCTCGTGATCGCATTAATAACTCACTATTCTCGAACTTTCCGAGTTCGTGGCAGTTTTAGCAGATCCCAAAGATCTTAGAACCGTGAATGCAGCTGCCAGATGTTTAAAAGCGTCTGTTTCCGGGCCACCGCCAGCTACGTCGAAAAGTTGCCGAAGTAATAACATTGAGGCATACGTTTTCCCGGATCCGCTCGTTCCTAAAGAAAATTCATTCCAAGATGACTAACTCCTAACTGTAACTGACTCCAAACTTTTCAATTCGATATTGTTTTTTACCAGAAAGTATAATTGCTTGTGGATAGCCAGTCTCTGATTGTTGCCTTACAGCTTCCTGAACGACCCTGTTCAATTGAGGTGCTAATGGTACGGCCCTGGTACTCGTCAAGGTCAATGGATTTCCAACATCCGTATAGGGATTGATGCTGACCAAGATAGGACCCACGTTTGTCTACATTTAGTATATCACATTTTCAAATTACTGAACATTAAATAATTAGGCAAAGTAGTAAATAGTAAAATGTTGTGTTTTTAGAAAATTTAATGTTTCCCAAATTACAAATTTTGTCGAGTGATTTAATCAATAAGTAATACTTATCTTTTAAAGGTTTCATAAAATATTTAGAACAACGTTTACGCAATGATATCGTTAAATGTGGACACTGTAAAGATCTCGATAACGAGCATTACAGCATGAATTTCTATATATATGTATATACATATATCTTGTACTCGACATATGTTCCAGTGCACTTATATAAATCATTCATGACTCTATCACCTACATAAACTACAATATTTTTGTTCACGTCTCAATGACTGAATCGGAACAAGACGAATCAAAGTAACGCAATAGCGTTTAAACAGCCTTAGCAACAGCGATTAATACAGCAGAAAAGTGATATATAAGCTAAGTTTGTAAGTACATCGATCTAAGATGATGTTTTTTACGAAACATATTTATTTTCTTAAACTGACATCGGTAATATTACCAAACGTAGAGAGAATGTAAGGTATGTTCAAATAAAAGTGAAAAATCACGAAGAACCAAGTCCTTAAAAATTGGGACAGATGAGACGTCCAAATAAAATATGGGAAAGAGCTAGCTGGGCACGTAAAAGAGTGATGGAAAAGAAAGAGGATAGGAAGGTGTAGAAGGCGGAGCACAGGATGAAGACTCAGGACTACGAGGGTCCGATGAGCTTGATTGTTATTAGAAGCCTGCTAGAGAAGGTAAAGCGGCACACAGAGAGCAAGAAAAAAGGTTGGAAAAAAAAATAAAAAAGGGTGAAAAAGTGGATGGGGAGAAAGAGAGAACCGGTCTGGTGTCGGGGTCCATCGAATATCTTAAAAAGAATGAGGGGAGATGAGAAAAAAGGGGAATTGGAAAGAAGCCTAACTTAAGAGCCCGTAAACAGATTACACACACACACGCAGACAACTGAATATGTATATGTAAGTTGGGCTGAGATGACCAAATAACATTTTCATTTTCAAAAAAAGAAAACGAGAAGCTGTCTGATCTTTTAGGATGAACAAAAATCATAAATTTTTACATGATTTTCTGAACATAATGGTTCATGTTCTATTAATGTATTACATTGGTACATAAAATGTGTTCTTTTGGTGTCGATGCTGGTTGTTACTCGTTTCAGTTGAATGATTAAACTTTTTCTTATAGATGACGAAAAGAATAAGAGAAAGAGTGGCTATCCGGTTGCCACCAATTAGGGAGTAACCGTTTCTCTCGCAATTGGGTGAACGCTATCGAGTTTTTGTAAACTAAAGGCGTAGTCTACCTTTCGACGATGTTTCCTCTCCTTTGAATGACCTATTGAGAAATTCCCTGTTTTTTACTTTGGTTTCCTTGCGAGCACCGATCGATGGAGATCGTTCGCGTTTCTTGAGAAAACCGATTAAGAATACGCTCGATGATGATTTAACGGTTAGACGTTGCGAGTTAATTGGATCTCTCCTGCTTTTATAATATTGAATTCTATATTTGGAAAGTAACCTCGTGCTATTTCTGTTATTTTTACATTTATACCAAAAAGATAAAAGATCTATACTATTTTAATTTAAGTCTAGACATCTGATATTTTCATCCATTTTCGATCTGAATATTTTCAAATCGACTAATTTATCTTATGTGGTAATATTTTGATTTTATCCAAAACCAGATAATGAATTTTAAAATATTAATCAACGTGTAGTTCATCTGAGTTGTTTCATTATAGAATAGTTGTAATTAGGTAAATGATTCCAAAGGTAAATATAGTGTTTACAAAAAAATCAGGAAGCAAAGGAAGAAATGCGGAAAAGGTTGGAGAGGGAATCAACAGAGTGTGAATGGCGAAGCGTTCGAAAGGAATGCGAGCTTGCCACCTGTGCGTGGGCCAGCACGTGTGAAGGGACAGGGTGAATTCTCAGCGTTGCTTTATCGACGCGTATACAAGCGTTGAAATCGTGCGTACGCTCATGTGTGAGTACCAGTTGAGTTCCCCACCCTTTTGCTCCACTTGCATTCCAACGAAGAACAGCGCCAGAGCTCGTGCGTGCATGCAATCGTGAGCTCCTACATATAACCGTGTAAAAACAGCCTGAAGGGTTTCAGATTAAGGGGCTCCGTATAAACTAACAGGAAATCTTTTTTCATTTGTGTCTAGTATTTGTTGTTTTAAGTTTCATTATAATAAATCGTCACACATTTAACAAATCAAATTTTTACTTATATTCAAATGTCTAATCCTATTAAAAAATTATCTTACATTTTTATCTATTACATTTTCTATTAATCCTGTTTTTGTTTACGGTGTCATTTTAATTCGATATAAATTTTTAACGAAAAATTTGCAATTTCGAGATATAAATTGTTCTTATTTTTTTTTTCTTTTCATATTATTGAAAAGAGTTTTGGAATTTATGCTTGGCAGATATAAATAATAATGAATATCTTATAATTTTGATTTAGTTTAACCAATGAAAGTAACAACCTATCCTATTTCAATTATTCTAATATACTACATCCAATAATTCAACACATAATGGAGAAAACATATATTTTATCCAATAAAATATTAGTTTGTTTAAATTTAATTATCCAAATGAAAGACTTACGTGATATTGTTTAGCACAAAAACGAGCCTGAAGGCATTTGAGTACCGCATCCTCCGTGAGAGGACCAGGTAAATGAATGAGATCGTCCAAGGCCGTGGAGGTTGGAGGACCAGTGGTGGCCGGCGTGGTAGCTGATTTTGGGAGACATCGATGCTGGCCTTGATTACTCTTTGCGTTCTTCACGTCGGCGATAATACTGGAGATTGGAGGTGATCGTAGGCAACCAAGGGCTGTCACGCAAGATACTATACCATCATCCGACACGCCGTTGTGCCGCTTCGTTGGATCTAAATCTAACCATCCAACGTTACCATTATACTTCAATATCCCATCACAATTGTCCAATCCTAACAATAAGAAAATTTTCGATCAATTATTTCAAATTATTTTATTATCAAATAAGTGATGGTGGTGAACATGGATTATACAAAGTTGTAAATATTATACAGGGAGTAGTTAATTTTAATAACTTTCTTTATATTAATTGTTTTAAAAAAATAATTACTTTCAAACAAAATTTATATTCCGTAGTTAAAGAGTGTGAGAAACAGATAGTTTTGATTAATTTGTATTACTACTATAAACATTTTAATTTCGTGTATTATCATATTTATTTTTGTTGATTTTTATTATTTTGTTTTGTTTCTTTTTTTTTTATGAAAAACGATTACGATCAAAGATAATACACTGATGGGTATGATGGTCCATTAGCGGAGGCGTATTAACGGAGAAACGAGGATATTACGTGTTACACGAGGATTTAACGTTAACTCGGACGAGCGAGTAGATGGACGTCCCGTGTCGCGACACACACCCGCCCTTCCTCCTCCCACAATCCCATCTCTTCCCTAGATATATGTATAACTATCTAACACGCGTGCTTGTATATATCGGTGTCTTTATACCCCCTATGACGACGAAAATCGATCACTTTCGATATAGGTTCAATCTACGAGACTCTTTACTTGAAAATATTTGCAATATTGATACCTTTCCCTTCCGCTTTATTAAAGTTCAGTTAATCGACACGACGATTTATTTTTCCTCTTTTTGATACTCGTCAATTTACATTTTTCGATCCAACCTCTTTAAAGTTTGTAACAATTTTTTAACATGTCTTGCTGCTTGACAAGCACATCGATACATTTTTTAAACATATTGAAATATATATATATTTAGATAGATAGATGTTTCAATTTGTTTAATATTTTTAATTCCAAGAGAAAATGATCATTTTACGTATATTAATTAATTAACATGTAATATTTAATTTTATTTTATAAAATATACATTTTTATCGTATTTAAATATCACGATAATAAAATTGTACTGAAACAAAAAAGAAAAAAAAAAAGAAAATGGAATAATTTAATAGAATTTAATAATTACATGTAATAATACAATTAGAATTGTATAAAAAAAAAATAATTTAAATTCATATGAACGTATGTTAACAAATTAATAATATACAAGCATAGTAGTGAATTATCGGAGAAGATTAGTTCGAGCATACTAACCAGATATGAAATTATTCGCAAGAGTTGCGTTGTGGCTGAGTGTGTTCGCAGAGGCGTGATTGACGTGAGGATGAACGATCGCGGATGCCGTGAGCGTGTGACTGGTGGAATGGTTGGACGAGTGACCATTCAGATGGCCGATTCCATGGGATACCGTGAATGCAGGTGGTAAGCTGGTCCTTGGTGGTACGGCTGGTGCTGGCGAGGAAGGTGCACCATTACCAGTACCACCACTACCAGTATTGCTATTAACACCAACACCAACAACAGAAGTACCCTTCTCAGGATTTTTCGACAGGGCACCTTGCGTTCCTGGTGACGGCACTGAACCACCGTTTGGAGGTTGGCTTACATGTAGCCGGTTCCTCAGGGTCACCAGTTCCGTGCTCAGGCTCTTTAGACGTTGCTGTAGGTGTACAGCTTCGTTCGAGGACGAAGCATCTGTAATGAAAGCAAACAGGAACGAATTATTAATCATCTCGATCGTGTAAATAAACCATTCAATTTATTGATTCTCTTTCTTTTTATTTTTTTTTTAATTAATTCATCAGTTACGATAGTGTTTTATATTTAAAAGGTCTATGGACTCGTGACCTTGTTAAGAAAATAACCGACAGAAAGAGAAGGTTAACGTTAAGTATATTCCGTTCGATCTAACTACGCGATTCTAACTTTGCATTCTCTTTCATGGTTCTTCTAATCTCTGATTACATTTTCTTTTCCTTTTTTTTTTTTTATGTTTAATTTAAAAAATCATTTTGAAAAGAAAAGTAGGCCAGTAAAAAGTTGTTATCCTCCTCCTCCTCCTCCTCTTCCTGTCGTTTAATGTATTAACCAGAAAACTGGTTTACGCGAAACACGTTCCGCAAAGGAGCATTTAGAAATTTATTCTATGCGTCTACTGTTAATAGACAACAACCTATGTCATATTGGACATAGGAAAGTATTCGAACATTGGCATAACTTTTTGTTCTTATGTATTTGTAAGACCAGTTAAACAAGACACCCTAAGTCATTTAAAAATATTCGTCAATATATATATATATATATTTATTGATCTTACGAAACACCTACATTCAATTTATTGGTCTTAATTTTAAAAGGTAAAAAATGAAATAAAATAAAATTGTATTTATTATAGAAAAATATAATTCCTGACTCATGGCTTTTATCAGAGATATTTAATCGAATTTTTTTCTTCTTAAAAATATAACTAATACTAATACGAAATATTCTGAACATGAATTTAATTCTACCTTTTACTACATACATAAATTATACGATTTGGAAAGTCATAGTCAAAAGTTAATGGCACGTTATCTCTTAATAAATAAATATTTCATTCGGTGTGACATGAACAAGAGATTAACAATTGAAATAAAAAATTGAGACTTTAGCTGATAGTTGTACGTACACGTATCTATAATAATGTGTAATGTGTATCATAAGTATTACAATATTGCATTGATATTTGAATAATTTCATATTTTTATTGAAATGTTTAATAAATTGATGGAGATAATTATGATCCTGATTAAGAATACATAGACCTTTTTTGTAAGTATTGTCTTGATTAGTGAAAACATTTGATTTGATTTTTGTAAAAATAAAAGGAAAAGGAAATCTAATCACATGAACCGTGAGATAACTCTTGCATGATTCAACTTTGATTTAACCAGCATCTAAGAGCTTGGATTAACGGGATTCGAGGAAGGTCGTGAAGCACCTTTCGCATTAATAATCTTGCTGTTCGTACGGTTAAAATAATAATAAAAAGATAATGAGATAAAGAAAAAGATGATATACAATTTTTATTATCAAGAGGTATAAAAATGAAAAAACAAAAAAAGAAAGTGAGAAAGAGTGGAGAAGAGAGAAAGAAAAATTTGAGGGGTAGGAAGACAGTAATCAGCAAGTTTTTTTCTTATCAAGTTCAATTATCATCCCTCAGAATTTCTACCCTTCGATTATTGGTCCTTCTCATTGTTCCCATTCGATCTAAGCGAAAAAAAAGGAAGAAATAAGGGACAAAAAAAAAGAAGCACACTATTTACTATCGTCCACAACCATCGACCCTTCTTTTCTACGTTAACATCCCTTCTGGATTACCTTCCTTACACCCCCTCTATTCAGGTATATCGACATAGTCGTTCGACCATTTTCATTCATCTTCACCCCACGCAGCAACTTCCCAATGCCTTTAACATCTCACGTCGCTACCTTTCCTGTTTGCCAGATAAGGGATACGAAAAAGGACTCGAGAAATATTTCGTGTCAATCTTAAGTATAATCTCTTATCTTAAAAGACATATTTTTTTATGACACATTCTGAGTTTATATTTATAGAATAAATTTTGTTGTTAACTATTAGAGTTTCACCTACTTGATCATTTCCATATAAAGTGATTTTTTGTGTTTGTTTCTTTTTAATTTGTATTATTTCAAAAACATTTACGATACTTCTGATTAATTACATTTGAAATTTCTAGTCTCACGTAGAAGATATTTTTAATAAATCATTTCAATATTAATCAAAATAGTTTTGAAGATTTGATATTTTTTTTTTAAGTGATTATGATTCTTATTCGATTTCAATGAGAATGATTGATTAGAAAGTTTCTAGTCAGAATATATTTAACTGTAAGTTGATGAATAAAAGTGAAAACATTTAATAGATCATTTAAATATTTAATTAGCTGTCATTAAGATATTTATAAATTATTAATTGAATTCTCTTTTGCAGTTTACCACAATGACCTTTTAATTTACATTAAACATGTTAAATATATTTTTCTATAACTTTGTAACTACTTTTTTTTTTTTTTTTAATTAATCAAGAAATTATTTATTATTGATACATCAGATAGAAATAATATATAGTTCATTTACTGTAACAAAATATTTTCGTAAACTTTAGTAATCAGAAATATACTCCGATTCGTCTTATTTGTATTTCGTCCTAGTTTTCATCAAAACTTTGTGATAGCTAAGTTTTACCGGTTCGTGATAATTTGTGCAATGATTCTCGTGCAAACCGCTTTCGTTACCTTACAACTTCCGGATAGGAGATCAGTTATATAACCGGTTCTCGGATCTGAAAATAAGTTATTTAACACCGTAATATAGAAAACAAGAACTCACAACTATCTAGTTGTTTTATTAACATTTTTTTGCTTTAGTCAACCATTGTATTTCGTACGTATTTTTCTCTTAACGTGGGATCGTTTCGATATTCATATTATAATAATAATAATAATAATAATAATAATGCATGACTAACAATGTAAAAAGGATCTATGAATGATAAAAATACTTTTTCTATTTTTATTTCAATATTCTCTAGAACGAATAATTTTACGAGTGTAATAAAAGTTTACGTAACGCGTTAACCATTTACTCGTTCGATAAATCAATGAGAAACTTTAGTACAACATTTACGTGAGATCCTTTTCTCGAAAATGTTCCCAAAAATAATAATAGCTAATAATTATTATAATTACTTTTGTTTTTTTTTTTGTTTTTGTAATAAAAGCACCACACCTTTACATATTTATCTTTAACGAGGTATATATATATATAAATTTAGAAGATTCAACTATTGATGATATTATTTTGATTTAATTTAAATTGTCAAATTACATTTAACAAGAACAATATAAATATACGAAATAATTCTATAAATAAATGAGAAACTTTTGAAAATATTGAAAAAAAAAATATGAATACTAAGAATAATAATTAATGTTAAGAAAAGTAATTAATCATAACAGTTAAAATTAAAATAATATTAACAGTATAATAATATTTAGTATAGAAATTGATATGTATTTAAATGCAGTATAAATGGATGGAATATAATTAGTTAATGATATAATATGATTGAGAATGTATGCAAATGATTTTTAAATATTGGTCAGTTCGAAACCACGTAAATGTATAACCAATAATATTTGAATTTCGTGTATATCGATCCGTGTCAATCGACAAGTAGATCAAATAAACAGAAGACCATACGTGGAGATTCGATTTGGTGGCTGACCAACCGATGCCACCTATGTATAAGCCACAAAATGTTTCGTCCAATGTATAACGATGTCAATGGGATCATCGTGCCACTGTTATATCTTATTTCAATACGTTTGCTATATCTTGACATTAACGTCATTGATAATATTATACAAACTCGTGTTGAATTAAAAAATATGAAGAAAAATAAACTCATTTCATTTTTCCATTGAAATTCGAACGAAATAAATATAATATAACTTTAATTAATTTAAAAATCAATAATAATAAAAATATCATATCATAAATCAAAAATAATAATCGTATAATTAAATAGTCATTTAATATTAAAACAAATGTAACACATTATTTACATTTTATTTGGATAAGTTAAAATCAAGTACTTCAAGATTCGAATATTTGTTTGTTACCTTCTATTTTCGGCTATTATAATTTATTCAATAGAAAGCGATTAATTTATTAGAACATGTCTGAACAGCGTGACGTATTAGGTAAATCGTTTAATCGGACCAACGTAACATTTAATCACTCGTATATACTCGTAAAGCTGCTATCGAGTTATCCCTCATTTTCCGATCCTTCGTAACGAGAGTATGATCGATCACAAGCAAAAGCTTTGAGGGATAAAAGAGAGAATGAGTTGATAGTTCATGCTCGTAAGCATCTGTTTATGTATGTGTAACTGGGTGGATATGGATGGATGTATGTTTGTGTGTGAGAGTATATATATAGATATGTAATCCACAGAAAAGAAACTGAAAAGGCAGGAAGACGAAAAGGGAAAGAACTTGGAACAGATATTCGCTCAGGTCCTCCTACTTCTATAGGAATTAAAATGAACAAGGTACCTTCGAATGCTATTCGCAGAAAACCACGTCTTCGTATTCTTTTCTCACGGCATTGAATGTCTACAACCGATTCAGTATAATATAAACCTACTCGTTTAGAATTACTTTATGTTTATAATAATATAGAAGATCATTTATTTATTCAATAATAATATTCAATTTGTTCATAAAAATCATTTTAAACAGAATTATTTTTTAATAATTTTTCGAAATATATCTTCGTTTAATCTTATATCGTTATTATTCTTTTATTTATTAATATTACTTATACAGTCAAAAATTGTCTTATTTTTTTATTTAAACCTATTCGAATATTAATATTATTTCAGTATACAAATACAAACAATTTAATATTAAATGTTAAATAATTATAGAATATATTTAATAACAAATAAGAGATATTGTTGATACAAACAAAAAAAAAAGAACTATCCCAAGAAAATAAAAATAAAAATAAAATATTCAATTCGAATGCAAAGTGGGTCCATTAAAGGAGAAGGCACCTACGCAGTAGGCTCACGTTTATCTTACGGTGATCATCAAAAAGGAAAAAAAAGAAGCCCTAAA